CCAAAATTAGACGAAAGAAGGTCATCAAAAGCAACACAAAGCAAGGCAGCACCTGTGTTCGCGAAACAGTCTGTACTCGTCACACTCACTGCACCCTACAGCCTCACGTCTGAGCTCCACACATAAGTTGGATCACCGCTCTCGCCTTTGGCGTGGCTAAGTGTCTTGCATTGCTCGTCCTGCAGGAAATATGGGGTCTTTCGCTTGGGCTGTTCGGTGAGCGCATCCTTTTCTGTGTGTGTGTCCGGGCTGGTCTTGCAGCAAAGTGTCCTGATTATCACATGTTGCAATAATCAATCACACCGAACGCACCTCTGAAAGGTGCTATGTTGTGTCTTGTTCGTTTAACAGCTTGGGAAGTTGATGCTCCCCCCTTCAGGGTGGGACGGGGTGGTACCCACCTCCAAATAATAAAGTGTTATTTGGGGGGTCCCTGACGGGGGACCCCCATAATTATTTGGAGAGGTGAAGCACCCCTCACCACAAAAATATACAAAAATTCAAGGCAGCAAAAAAACAACAACAAGATTCTTGTAGCCCCCACCCCATCCCTCAAATAAGGTGGCAATGTGGAAGCTGTATGTGTGTGACTGCACTGTGTTTATAATATCCTCATATATCATCATATGATATCTCTGAAAAAAATATCCAGACTCAGTATAGATATCAGGAATCCACCTCCCTATCTAAATTATTTGGGGGGTGGGGGACCCCCCCAAGGCACCCAGTGTCCTCAAGCTCTCCCAGGAATCCACCTCTCTCTCTAAATTATTTGGGTGGTGGGGGGACCCCCCAAAGCACCCAGCGTCAAGTATACATCTTCAAATCTTTGCTATTCATCCTGACTCCTAGGAAAACTATTTAGGAGTCCTGCCACCTAAAGAAGTCGTACGGTATCGTAATTATTTGGACCCACCTTCACCTCAATTTGAAATGTATTTCTGGACCCACCAACACCGTCAAATAATTATAAACAAATGATTTTTAAAAATCAAGAGGTGACCCCAAGGGGGCCCGCAATGGAAGTTGCCTTTCCATCTGGCAAAGATCGCTGGTCTAGATCGGCCACTCCTCACGGCAGTAGCCCACCCACTTCTTCATGCATTGCCCCTTCACCTGCAAAAACCAAAAGCAAACGCCTGGACCTAAATGAACACACATCAGCTGGAACGTCTTGGAATCCGTGCGAAGGTCGATCAGTTCGAACAGCCCGGTGCAAACGACAAATCATAAGTAAACGAGTTGTCTTCGCCTCCCATCCTTTGGCGTTATGCGTGTCGATCTCCGTGCCTTCTTTGCCTTTGACAAAATTACATGGCACACGAACGCTGCAACACTGGGCAAGCTTCCAACATAACTGAACACAATCCGCTGAGGAGTCAACAGAACAAGGGGCAGTAGCCATCTGCATCCTGACAGCAAAGTGGCACGCAGCTCTTCCCCGTTCGGAAACAAATGTTTCACAGCTCGTTGCAATTCGTCGCTTTGCCTCGAGGCAGCAATCCTCGCTGGACCTGGCAGCCCAACGAGACCAATGCGAGCGTCATGGCTGATGGCATGTTTTATGTAAATTACTAATAGCATCCTTGCTACTACTAGTAATGCCAGGAGCTACTAGTAGCGTCCCTTGCTCCTAGTAGCGATGCCTTTTGTTACTAGTAGCGTGCAGAAACCAACTCTGCGAACTCCAAGTTCCGGGCCAACACACACCGCCTTCATTCGAAACTACTCGCTTTGGGACTCCTGTCTCCCCCTTAGCAAAAAGGCAATGCATGGAAGAATGATTCCTAAACAGACCGCGTATGTTAATCAATGATATGATATTTATATATGTTGATTTAGACAATCACATATCTAAACCAAGTTCAATCGTGCAATCACCTCCCTGATTGTTCTTTTGTCTGCTCGAGTTCGTTTGAATGATTCGATCAACGTCTGCCACAACCCTGGCTTGACTCAACTCAACTGAGTCAAGGGCCTCCCGCATCATTGTGCCCTGCACCTACAGCTGTTTCGAAAAGGACCCTCCCAGTGAAGTTGGTTCAGAAACGGTTTTCTTGTTTCCTTCCCCGGTTGTGATCTTTGAGGAAAAACATTGACGGTCAGTCTCTTTGCGCCGTTGTCCGTGACGGCGGGCCTTCGTCTGGAGCAGCTGGACATCAATCTCTGCAAGTTCTCTTTCTTCAGCTAGTTCCACATCTGCCTTCAAACAACGGCGTCAACAAAGTGTAACTTTATATATACACAGACCCTCAATCATAATGAAGCCATATGAAACCTATGCATTGCTCTCTTTTCCTTGGGGCACAGCACTTGAACTCCAAGCAAATGACGCCATTTGCAGCTTTACATGACATTACAAGATATCTCGATGCCCGCATGTTCCGAACAAAAGAAACTGTCAGCTGCACCAACACTTCGAGGCCAACTGTTGCAAGGCCATTGTGGCTGGGCAAGTGACAAATTTGGCCGCAGCCTGCTGCGAACAAGTTCAACAAAATGTTCTTTCAGCGCTCAGCAAATGTTTCCGTAACGTCTCTCGTGCCGAATCACAAAGTTTGCCTGACCACGATACCTTCGGCTCATTCTCAACAAGTCATCCTCTTCATAGCAACCGAACTTGTGGCCATTCTGAAAGGCGCATTGCAGCTCGCATACCCGGTCACATTGCCGATGCGCTGATCTCGAACCATAGAAGTGGTC